CAATCCCCCGTATACCATCTTCATTCCCCAGGAGGTCATTCTTTGCCCCCAGCCATCCTTCCTGCCGAAGGTTAATTCCGCCTTTCATATAAACGAGTCCATTATACTACCAGTTTTCTATCCAAAACCCCATACCTCGGAACATCAAGCAAGATTACATTCCCTCGACGTACGTAGTGCCCTTGCCTTATACATCGATAAAACTCGAGAAGCAAGGAAGTCTCCGCATCTGTTCATTTTCATGGATGCTCATTCAAAGGGTTCCCCACTCTCATCACAGCAAATTTCTAAAATAATTATTTCCTGCATAACCCGATGCTAAGAACTGAGAAATAGACCACTTCCGCACACGATGACAGTCCATTCTACATGAGCGATGGCCTCTTCAGTGGCCTTCCTCAAAGGGGTTTCCTTGAAGGACATCTGCAGAGCAACTACCTGGTCCTTGGACTTCACTGTTGTGAAACATTGTGCTCTACAAAATATCCTAATAACCAACACAGTTGTAGCCACCACAGTTCTGACCACGGCGGCAACCCACTGACTCCGAAACCACCACCTTCTTCCAGGCTACTGCTGTGAAATCACCCACAATGGAGTATCCACGGGGACACTACCCGAAGAAGAAGAAGAAGTTACTCACCTTGTGCAGTAATGATGGTTCTTCAAGGTGTGTGTCCCCGTGGGCACTCCACTACCCGCCCTCCTCCCCACGTCAGAGTCTCTTCTTTATGTCTTTCAGACCTCGATGTTCAGGAGGAACAGGCGGGGCTGGACCGCGTGACTGGAAATGGCGCAAAAAGCCGCAAGATGGCCGCCATGCATGCACAGTCCAGCAAACAACAGCTAAAAGATCTCTGATCTGCAGCACCAGGATGAGCCCGACACCCACAGTGGAGCACCCACGGGGACATACACCTCAAAGAACCATCATTACTGCACAAGGTGAGTAACTTCTTCTTTTGGGGTTCAAAGGGAGGTGTTGTATACAGGGGGGCACTCAGTGCCTAGAGGTGACTGGTTTAATGTGATGGGGGAGGGAGGGAGGAGTTTGTTGTTCCAGAGAACAGCCCAGAACTGGAGCTACAGTGTCTGGTACCCAGGTGACATGGCCCTGCTCAGAGGACACGGCCGGTCCAGCCAGATGACAGACAATGGGCTGCAGAGAGGGACCCCAAGGACCGGCCCAGCTGACCCCAGTGAGGGGAGAACATTGGATGGAGGAGGGAGGCAGAGAAGAGAGGGGCCCAGGCAACCCTCTTACCTAGGAAGAAGACGCCGGCCGGGAAGGGGCTGTTGCTGGGGGTATTGGAGGCTCTGCTGGGAAACTGGGGCTGTTTTGGGGGGACTGAGAGCAGAGCAGGCAGGACTCAGCTGGCTGCAGGGGAGGGTGGCGTGTGGGATGAGGGCCCAGGCCTACAGGCCTGAAAGATCCTTTGCTGAGTTCAAAGGTCAATCACCCCTCCTGTTTGGTGCTGACTGGGAGTCACTCTGATCTAGAGAACAGGGGGGCGCTATTCCTTCTGGGAGGGAGGCCCCGGGGGTCCAGAGAGCTGGCTGGGCTTCCAAAGATCTGTTCTTGTGAACTTTATTTTGGCAGACTCCGTGAGGAAACCGACCTTTTGTTTCGGTCTCAAACTGCACCTCCCACAGCAAACCAGAACGGTCCAGAAAGTGGTAACAGACAAACTGTCCATTCACTGGTGGACGTCAATAAGGAGAAGAGGAGAACACAAGGGCTACGTCTACACTGGCATGATTTTCCGGAAATGCTTTTAACGGAAAAGTTTTCCGTTAAAAGTATTTTCGGAAAAAGCGCGTCTACATTGGCAGGATGCTTTTCTGGAAAAGCACTTTTTGCGGAAAAGCGTCCGTGGCCAATCTAGACGCGGTTTTCTACAAAAAAGCCCCGGTCATCATTTTCGCGATCGGGGCTTTTTTTGCGGAAAAGAAATCTCTGCTGTCTACACTGGCCCTTTTCCGGAACAGTTTTCCGGAAAAAGACTTTTGCCCGAACGGGAGCAGCATAGTTTTTCTGGAAAAGCACTGATGATTTTACATGAGATCGTCAGTGCTTTTCCGGAAATTCAAGCGGCCAGTGTAGACAGCTGGCAAGTTATTCCAGAAAAGCAGCTGATTTTCCGAAAAAGACTTTTGCCCAAACGGGAGCAGCATAGTTTTTCTGGAAAAGCACTGATGATTTTACATTAGATCGTCAGTGCTTTTCCGGAAATTCAAGCGGCCAGTGTAGACAGCTGGCAAGTTTTTCCGCAAAAACAGCTGATTTTCCGAAAAAGACTTTTGCCCAAACGGGAGCAGCATAGTTTTTCTGGAAAAGCACTGATGATTTTACATTAGATCGTCAGTGCTTTTCCGGAAATTCAAGCGGCCAGTGTAGACAGCTGGCAAGTTTTTCCGCAAAAACAGCTGATTTTCCGAAAAAGACTTTTGCCCAAACGGGAGCAGCATAGTTTTTCTGGAAAAGCACTGATGATTTTACATTAGATCGTCAGTGCTTTTCCGGAAATTCAAGCGGCCAGTGTAGACAGCTGGCAAGTTTCCCAGTGCCGGCTCTGCAGCCCCACTGGCCAGGACCCCACCTGCAATGGGAGCTGATGGGGCAGCACCTGTTCAAAACGCCGCATGCAGCTTACATAGTCACCTGGCCCTGCCTCTGCTTAGGGGCCAGACGTGGCAACAACTTCTGAGAGCAGCACGGAGCCAGGGCAG